ACATTAGAATTTATAATATTAGTTAAGATATAAAAATCGAGTAGAAAATTCTAAGGACGACCACCGTAGAGACCGAAATACAACTACTGTTATTTTTTTTAAGGGTTTAATACTTATTTCTTGATTCTTTTTATACTTTTTCTATTTTGGAAAAACATTTAAATTTTGGTTCTTATCAAAATAATCCACTATTGGAATTTTAAAGAGAAATTGATCATATGTAAATAATTGCATTAAATAAATTACATTACTTGGAAATACCTTTTCATGTCGCAATAATGAATAATCCATATAGTAACTCAAAAATTTGTCCAAAACAAGCTAATTACGTATAATAGGGCTCGCTAATTTGTGCATAGGATAAGCTGAAACCCCTGGAGACTTGTTTTGAAAATAAATAATCGAGATAACTATTTCGAATAACAATTATTATGATGAATTTCCAATTTCTATATTGCTTACCGTACAAGTAATTACCTGAGAGGAGGACCGTGAATATGAAGGGTCCTGGGCTAACATTACTTTACTTAATAAACCAATTTCTTTAATGATTAGGAAAAAAATTAAAGCAATTTTTTGTATTTCTGTTATTATAAATTATAAAGCATTTAGATTATTTCTTTTTTGTTTTCTCAATCCACAATAATATTATCCATTGTCTTCAATGGGAGCCGGGGCCCTATATCCACGGGGACCTGGACTGCAATTAGGGTTGCCACCCGTACTTTATTATAAAGTATTGTACTCTATTTCGACTGTGCGTACGTTATACTTTACAAGACACATAAAGTACGCAAAAATACTTTATTTAAGGCCTTAAGTAAACATCGTAATTTTGTAAGCGATTATTCGAAATTCAGAGTATTTTTACATCAATAATATTGCACAGAAAAATGGCAAGCCATATTTACGGAACAACCTGATTTCCCAAATCTGTTCAAAGTAGTGTCACTTTTGCTGTCCGTTCCGGCCACTTCAGCATTTACAGAAAGAGTATTCTCTGTTATGAACGCAAAGTGGCGGGACGACAGGAATAACGCTTCATTAGAACTAATTAAAAATGAACTTTTAGTTTACTTAAATCTTTGTTTGCCATGTTTAGAGGCTATTAATGTATTTAAGAGCGACAGCAATTCGTTACTGGCTGCTAGGTGTAACAAAAAATATGTTTTTAAAAACAAAAACTAAAATATTTTATTTTTTTGCTGAGTACTTTTTTGTTTAACCTTTTAGTCGAGAAATACTTTATGTAAAGCCTGAAAAGGTGGCAACCCTAACTGCAATCCAAAAAGCGCATATATAGAACCTATGAATTATGTACTTTACTATTTTACAGACTTGTTTAAAAGCGACAATACAATTTGTATGGTACGATTTGCTATAACTTTATTTAATTAATAATAATTTCCTGCTATTTTAGGTTTATAATTTCCTGATGCTACATACAACTGAAATGCCTCTCTATTTTAACGTACAACGCCGCTGACATACCTACGTCGTTGTGCATATATTAATATTTTAATTTTTCCGTCGCAAATAGAAACAATAATGCTAATTCCAGAAGCGCATTACCGACCATTGAATGGTAATCTAATAAAGATCAGTTTATTTATCGAGTCTACTCGACATACTCGATACTCCCAAATGCCCGCAATTCTAACAAGACCTTATCAACACTGAAACATTCTTATTAAGGAAAGTTTAAACGAAATCTTTCGTTTAATAAAAATTAAAAGTAATTGTCACAATTGCAAAAATAAAACATATATAAAAATGACAACACACAATTTGCGAAACTAATTTAATATTTTGCAATTAACATATATATGCTGCATAAACAAGTCAATTACAAAAATCTGATCATGTTTTTGTGGAATTTTACTGTGTCGAGTAATTTCTCTACGAGTAATAAGGTTGTGTCAAATCAGTAATTTAACCACACTGATGCCCAATATTTATCTGTTCCTTAACTGTAAAAATGGTGTATCATTTATAAACGACAATAGTGACGCAGGGTTCAAACGTAACACAATTTTGGATAACCAATTTTCCACTCATGACCGTTGCTCATGCAATGTAGTTTTTACTTTTAACATTCAACGACTACATGAAACATGGGCAGATTACAGAAACAATTTTAATATTCTAACCGTAACCGCCCAAATTTGGTCAATATTTTCTCCAGTGGTGCACTTGAAACCTTTTCTAAATCTTTAACATTTTTTCAACAATTTTTATAATGTACCAGAAGAACTTATCCTTATGTCTCCTCCTGTTTAATTAGGTCCTGTCGCAAAATCCGTTCTTAGCTGACGCTTCCTACGTATGAACTATCTACTTGCCAAATTCTATAACTTTTTTAGAGATTTCTTGTTTTGTCAATGAATGAATGAGTGACCTTTGGCTATTATATATTTAGATACAATAATTATAATTAATAAGCAATCTAAATCTAATCTAAATTCTGACAATCATCTCCTCGAGTCTAAAATCTCATCGAAATTAATGATGTTTAATAGGAAGTTATACCTCAGCTTCTACATGCCTATGCGAATTTAATGTAACAATGAACAGAGAACGTCTAAGCCTAAAAATACTAATTTTATGGGTAATCGTGTTTCTTTGGACGATTTTATAAATTGTTAAGATCCATTAGGTATCATCATCATCATCATAAGGTCATCAGTCCTAAGACTGGTTGGACACGTACCTCCACTCTTTCCTATCCTGAGCTAAACTTCGCATTTCCCTAAAACTAGAACAGCCCACATCCTTAACTATTTGCGAACAGTAATCTAATCT